TATACGTACTGTATTTATTAAATGTAAAAGTTGAACATAATTTCTCAAGCTTAATTTTATAATGAAGAAATATTTAATTAGGCGTAAAACTCTAAAAAGTACTATTGTAATTTCTTAATAATTCTAATTTGCTGTAGATTAACTCCAAACTTATGGGGATCAATCAAGCCTTGGACCGTTCGTGCACGCCGCGAAGCTTGCGAGACGAAGACGTCATGGTGGTAGGCGCTGACGTCACACATCCTTCCCCAGAACAGGTAAAATAACATAACGGGGTCATGTAAGAGAGTCACCACACTTATAAACGAGGAATCTGCTTGAGCCAGTTAGAAAAATCTTTGTGCTTACAATAAAAACGAAAAAAACTGCGTTTTGCTTCTATTCGAAACGCAAACCTCAAAAGCAAGTCTCAAAAAAAGAAAAATACTTTAAGTAATAATGTATTTATTTCCAAATGTTAGTTCACAGCAAAGACATTAAGTATAGAATAAGGTTAGAACGTTACAAGATATATTCGCTGACTCTCAAAGTAGGATAACCCGTGACATGAGAGTCGGTGTTCCTCCGTGTCTTAATTTAGGACATTACTACAAAAAAGGGTGAAAACAAGGTTTATTGTATTACATTATTAAAAAGAAAAAGTAAAATATAATAATAATAATAATGTAAAAGAGAAAAAAAAAGATCAATAAGAATAACTAAGGCAGTAAATAAAATTTAATGCGATTCCTGGTCGATAACTGTGATGCCTCCATAAAGAGGGTCTAGACGGCCACCAGCAGGGTAGAATGTCGATCAATTATTGATATATAAATCGATTATAGTATATTATACCCGTATTAAGAAACAGTATAATAGCATAGTATAATAAGTCATGTAGGGTAACACCATACAAACGTAGCAGCGCGGCTTATACGTGTGCACGCCCGACGCGCGCTATCTATGAACGCACACATTCGCATAATGTCGCGGTGCACTCACGTTGCAAAGCGCGGGTCGCTGCACGCACCATTCATTATAGAATTGAAGCGTTCGCTCGGTATTTAAAAAATTACATCAAGTGGTAGACGTGTTTATTATTGTCATTATTTTATATTTGAACAAGGGTGAAATTCAGAATTGTTCAGCATTTCATTTCTGTTTCATAATTATTATTTATGTTCCTATAATTTAAGTACTGCATTTAAAGATTATTTCAATATAGCACGAGAATACTTTAATGAACACCTTTTTGTCAAACTATGTTTACAACCTGTAGGTACAACCAATATAATAATGTGACAACCCTATTTTTTTATGATACCAAGTGACCGGACGAATAAGTCGTGCGCTTGATGGTAAGCGACACGCGTGCTTCACAGTTGCATTGCCATTCAGAGCTTTAAATCACAACGATCTGAGGAGCACTGCCACTGCGCTCATCACCTTGAGACATAAGGCGATTGTCACACTGCACCGCCCCGTATTATACTATGATAACACTATATATTAACGCCACAGTATGCGTCTCTACATTTAACGAGACGATAATGTCAAGATAATAAATTTAAATATTTTGGTTTACATATAACATTTTGATTCCAGTCAACGGTACCAAGCATCGCAGCTGTGGCGGCATCGTTTGATTCAAAATGCTTCATGTACAACATCCAACTGAGTGTACAAACGCCGAAGGTACTTTATTGTATACTATTAATATGTCATTGTTATATTACGTTCGTATTTGTTTTGTTTCGTTGTGACTATGTTTAAATGTTATAAAGGATCCAGAAATAAGCTCAACTCTGCGCTCAGTGTACGCGATTTAAAAAACACGAAAACTTTTAGACGTAAAATCCCCTAGATTGGTTTTCTTCTGCTACTGTCACAGTTTAATTACATATGGGATTTTGATTTGGGTAATTCTGTCGATATTAGTAGAATTTTTGTCCTGCAAAAATGTGCGGTTACAGCATTTAATATTTGGACCCTAGAGTATTAAAAGAGTAGTATTATAGCACTTTTCATTCATAATATCCCAACTCAAACGATGTACATGTATTGCTTTTTAGAAAGAAATGATAGTCGAGTTCGAGGATATGATGCTGGAACACCTTCAGCTCTACAAGCAGAAGAACAATGTTCTGCCTAAGAAGATATACGTCTTCCGTGACGGAGTTTCCGAAGGACAATTTGAGCAGGTAAGTTCATATAGGTGTACGTATAAGGAAAAGGAACATGTGCCACATATTTCGATCCCTCCTACGTAATGCATCGTAAGCCCAAATTCACAACTTTGCAGAGAGGAACGCTTTTAATGTATTGAAATGACTAAATTGAGCATATCACCTGATTAATTGAGGTATTGCAATTAAATTTAAATTTGATACATACGCATTATTTTCCATGCTATAATTTAATTAGGTCTAATTAAAAAAGAAAGTGATGTATGAAAAAGGCACCTATTTATGTTGCTTAATTATAATGTTTCAAATGTATTCAAATGTTTCTTTGTAAAAAATGTGACAGGCACATTTCGTGAGAACTACAGATATGGGCTCTGAATTTTGACATGTTATTATTAAGTAAAATAAATATACACAGCTAACCCAAAATCTTATGCTAGTTTTCCTCTACCTCTTTCGACTCTTAATCAAAATAATATTTACACTTAATTTTAAACTCTCAAGTACTACATTAAGTATTATAATCTGCTACTATTAAAATTTTGTTTTTTGTTTCTTTAAACATTGTCGTGATTTTTTGTTTCACGTAATATATTTTTAGGTGATGAGAAGCGAACTGGTTGCCGTTCACAATGCCTACCGACGACTGTCGCAAGTGAAACCTGAAGTGTTGTTCCTATTGGTGCAGAAGAGACATCATACTCGGTACGTTTTATCTTGTAGTTTTTGAATTTTTTATAGGTTCAGTATTTTTAAAGTGCATATGAAAAACCTGTATAGTGTATTTCAAATGTAATTAATAAAATAGATAATTTATTTATAGATTCTTCGTGCCGCAAAGCTCTAACAACGTAGAACCGGGTACAGTAGTTGACACTACTATTGTTCATCCTCGAGAGTTGGACTTCTATATGGTACGTACCCTTTTTTGGAACGAAAAATATTTTTTGAATTAATGACTTGTCACATTTTTTTAGAATAACATATCGTCACTGGAAAGGCGAAATTACTAACCTTCAAATGGCCAAAATGGCGCTTTAGTACTTTCGCCTTTCCAGTGATGATATAATTATATATAAATTGTATAAAATATTTAACTTGTGTCGATTCGCAATGGTACCTTTTAGTTGGCTTTCATCTTTTGAGTATGTACTTAATACATGTTCATTAGCTGCAAGAATTAACCTTCCTTAAAATTTCGTCGTAAAATATTTTTTTTTTGTAGATTTAAATATTATAATTGACCAATGTCCGTAAATCAGGTGTCCCACCAAGCCATAAAGGGCACAGCTCGCCCCACCCGCTACCACGCCTTGTGCAATGATGGCGGAATCCCGCACGACGAAGTGGAACAACTGACCCATTTCCTCTGCCACCTTTATGCGTGCTGCATGCGCTCCGTGTCGTACCCCACACCGACTTACTACGCCCATCGCGCTTGTCTGCGTGCTCGGTCTCTTACATAGTAAGTACCGTTTTTATATAACTTTTAGTGTAATCTAGTTAGTAGAAACTGTAATGTCCTATTTGCCTTTTTGTTATTTGTCAATTTCATCTTAAAGGGTACAAACAGCTTTTGTCACAAAATAATATAAGTTATTTTGTTTCAACACAACTGCATTCTTTATGGTCAAGGAGCGTATATTGCTGTCCTTATCAACCCCCCTCTAATAGTTTTTTTTATTTATTTAGTTTCACTATTATTGTTATATATAGTTATATAGTATATATAGTTTCACTATTATTTTATGTTAAGCAAAATAAGCATAAATGACGTTTCTCAAAGAAAAACACAAATTTTAGGTACAAATATAAATTGCTTTATTTCTCTCAGAAAGCAGAAAGGTCTATACGTAGTTACATCATGCATGAAATAAAAGGTTGCTTAGTGAGAGCTGGAGTCTACTAGGTTGGGGACTTGTGTTACGGATCACCAGACTCATTCCCTTTAGGTGTAAAGAACGCACGTGCTTGCGTGCGTGCTTGCGTGAGTGCTTGCGTGATTAAAACGTAATTCGGTACGGTAAGTAGTCCTTCGGTCGACTCGTAGTCGAGAGTGAACTGCCAGTCAGCAATAGGTTCTTTTTAATATTTTTGTTTAATTTGATCTCCATCTCACCTGATTGAAAGTGACGATGAGGTCGACTATGGAGCATCCACACCTATATAATGCCTATTCACTCTCGCCTTAAAAAGGCCCAAGTTATAACGTTCGGGGAACAAGTCTGCAGGCAGGGAATTCCACTCCATAGCCGTTCGCCATATAAATGTGGAAGTGTAACGCTTCGTGCGAATCTTTGGAATATCTATAACATAGGGGTGGAAGCCAAGCCTAGTCCCCCGATGATGGAAAGGGGAAGGCGGAATTAAATCGTGTAATTCCATCGCACATTTTCCGTGATATTATATCCTGTAAAATACCAATAAGCAGGCAACTTTACGGTGGTGTTCAAGGCCCTGCAGCTTTGCCTCTACTACTTGTCAATTGAATCCAAGGTGGCCAGTTGGTATGTAGCAGAGCCATCCCAAAGGTGGCAGCTGTACTCCATACACGACCGGACTTGTGCTTGACACAGCTGAAGCAACTGTCCCGATGTGAATAGGTGCTAATATCTCGAAAGTTATCAATATTCAAATGCATTGTTTATGACAAGGAGAGCATTATTATTGTTCAAAATAATCAAATTTAGCTCAATAGCTTAACTCTACCTACTGTATAAGCCATAGACCGTGAGACGCCAATACAAAAATTTGGCCATCAAGCTCGAAGGGCTACTTAGTACACTTAGATACATTTCAATATGTCCAAACGGGACTGGAGCTTGATCTGCGGGGCCACATTCTGAAGGATAATGGAAGAAAGGACCAAAGTAATTTGACCCTGAGACACGAACAAATTAAGTGGTCGACCTAAATCTAGCACATTCAATAACTTGAGTCAATATTTATTATTTATAATAGAAGGGCAAATTCGGAGGTCACTTGCCTGTTATTTGAATGTTTAATCCACTTCTTAAAAGTAACCAGTATTTATATACGACATAGTTTTAAATTCTTCATCAATAATAAATAACTGCGTCTTCCACAGCGGCGAAAGGTACGACAATCACGAGCTGGAGAGGAATCCGAAGCGCCTTCGTGTTCTCGACAGAATGCTTTCGTACAGCCGCATGTTCTTCGTATAAAAACAACGATCCTCTCCTGTTATACCGACCTACAATCCCTTTTAAATTATGCTATTTTGAGTTACATCAAAACTGTTAAATGGCAGCACAAAAGGAACATTGTAATAAACAAAAATTAACATGTTTGAATTGAAATACAGGTTCTGATTTAAAATACAACTTTTATGCAATGTGGTGGAATTATAAATTTGTCATATCCATGAGCAATTTTATTTCTTGAATGCATTGGATGACTGTTATATAATGTAAAAAGATAAGTGCGTAAATTAAATAGGGATTTGGTAAACGGCTTTTTTTTATTTAATCGTCAAACGCCAGAGTTGGAAAGGTAAAAATCCATGTCTCTTTTTATTTTTTTCTATTTTTCAGTCAGGTATGTAGATAAAGGGAATAAAGTGATAATATACAAATGTATATACATATTACGGGAGAGTTAAAATATAGTTCCAAGAAACACAAGGAATAAAATAGAAATACGGCCTAGACAACGCCCTAACTTGAAATTTTAAATAAGAACGATGTTCATATTAGCACCCAAATTATTTAATACATTACCGGATGCTGTTAAAGAATTACATTGTAGACGATTTAAAATGAAATTGCACAATTTGTTACTCAAAGCTACTACAATATTGATCATTTTTTTACTTGATAACAAAATGTAAAATTTAACTATGTATATTATATTTTTGACTGTTGTTTGTTTATGCTTGTGTTAATTTAACTTTAATACATACTACATCGAAAATACAAAAAAGAATGGTGTAAAATGTTCGCATGACAAGGTTATGGTCAAATGTACGATCTAATATAATATACTATAAGACCTGCAATGTTAACTACATTTTTCAGCGAATAAATGTCTTGTATCTAGTGAAATCGTCAACATCTCTCGTACTTGCAAGCAATGGCAGCCAAAGTGACGTCATTGGATGCGTAAAATTAACAACACAACCTTTAGTATCTACATACAGTTCTTGAATATTTTGCATTCTTTACTCGCGAAAAAATGTGGGAGAGTGGCTGCAGTACCTTACACATATTAAAGTTTATTTTTCATTGTTCTTTCGTCGTGTTTTGTCGTCGTTACGTTTACGCCATTATTCTTTAATAGTTATGTAATTTAAAAATATATATGTATTACTTAGAGTCTAAAAATGCAACAAAAATTCGCAAATATTATCGCTGTATTCCCTTGGACCGTCGATATTAAGATTTACTTCTGAACGGTATTCTGAAAATTAAGATGTAACCGATTATTACAGGGAGTTGAAAATGGTTGTTGTGTGAAAATGTTCAAATTGTTTCTTTTACAAATACGTAATCGTGTATTTCAATATTGTTCATGTCGTTTGAACATAGAATCTCTTTTTCACATTCTACTTGTATATTAAGACAATTGCTTTTGTTATTTTTTGGATTAGTTTATTTACTATTAATGATCACAGTGTTAGGCTCAATTTACATGCCACGGAATGAACTTAATAGCATAATGAACTTTATAAATCAATTGGGTAACGTACAAAGCAGATACGCTACGGTAGCTGCGGAAATTCTCGAGACATCGCAAGAATTCGCCCGAACCTGTTTATTGACTTCAATCTAATTTTTACAATTGACAAAGTTCATTGTGGTATGATTACAAAAAATCGGTTTCATTCAGGCACGGAAGAAAAAAAACAAAGGAAGTGTCTTAAGCTTCGATTACTACTTAGAGGATAGAAAAAGTAAAGAGATTACTGTCAGAACCTCTGTCGTTAAAACTCAAACATTCGTAATTTGAAACACTTTGAAATGTTGATAATGATTGATCGCAGTTTTTAATTTAAAAAGAAATAACAAATTCTGGATTGTTAATATAATTTAAAATTTACCCTGTTGGCATATCATTGAATACCTACCTATTATTGCAAGTTATGACGCACGTTTTGATTTTATATAGAAATTTCAATCGAATGTGCTGCAATCTAGCGGTCAATACTTAAACGACGACAAGTTCGAGGTGTTTTCTTAGTTCTCCTAAAAGAAGCGACCATATTGCAGTGGTACACGTCGTTTCTTGTAACAAAAAAATTTTTACGATAAACAGAAAATTGAAACTTTAAAATTAAATAAGACAACACTGTCAAAGATAATATTACAAGTGCGACTATTCTTTTTATTCTTTTTGCTACTTTGGAGTGCAAAAGCACTCCAAAGTAGCAACATAAGGTATTTTTATAGAATTTCCCTGGTTTTGCACGTGTTAATTGACACGACCATAACGTGCAAAGCGAAAATGGTGGACTGAGCTTATGTATCTGGAACATCGCGTACTGCTGGCATATGTGTCACGCGAACTAAGCACTTCTACTGTATTTATTGTTCTGTGCATTTAGGCAATATGAATAAAATCAGAGCCTAAAGGATTTTTTCAGTACCCGAAACATTTGCATACTTTATAAGTATGCAAATTGATAAAACAACGTATTTCCAAAATCTTAAAGTAACTTTTTTTTAAGTTCCATTTAAAAAGTTTCGGGTATTAAAATATCCTTTATATATAAATTGATCTAAATACCTAGGGAAATATAAATCATTACTTCAGTATATACTTACTTTAGTATTACGCTGTAATATGTAGTTCATTTCATACGAGATTAAATAGTTCGCGCTGAGGTTAAGTGGTTCTTTAATTTAGGACATTTCTCTTTCTGGTGCTTGTAAAATAAAACACTGCCAAATTGGCAAAAGTAAAGCTTTATATAATTAGATTCGTCAGTCCATCACAGTCGATTTCTCCATCACAGTTGCGTTAGATATTGAAACAACTTGGGAACTATAGAGTATCACTGAATAGTTTTCAAAAACTGAATTAAAATGTTGATAACACCTGTATTACGTGTCGTATATAATATGATACTATATTTAATTTTTTGTAGACATCTACATGATCAATTTCGAGGATATGTTTGCCTATGATATTTACTTATACAATTATTACTAGTTTTGGAATTTATAACATACGTAAAATTTAAGTTAGTACCATTTAATCGAAGTATTAATTAATATATTTATATGGATTTCGGGAATATGTTGGGGTTTGCGAGATTTTGGGGTAACACTACTATGCGGTTATCTTTGTGATAAATTTTGTAGTATAGAGGCGGGCAGTTCACATGGCTGTTCATATTTGCTATTTGGGTGATTGTTGTTACTTTGAAAAAAAAAAAAAAAAATTGTATACAAAGACCGAAAATAAAACCGACAAGCGCGGGGTGTTTGGTGTTTGCTGTATTTCTGCCCTAGGAACGAAAAAAGGCACAACTGTGTCGTATAAAGGACGCAAAGGCATCTTTTTCGTTACGAGTGCAGATTTGACAACAACATGACACTACACAATTTTACATTACATTAGTTATGAAGTTATTATTTACGTATTTTAAATTACTCTTGTATAGAACTGTAATAAAAATGTTTTCACCTTTTTCCAATAATTAATATGTAATAACTTGTTTCTTTTTATTATTTCTGTTTATCTCATTAGTCGCGCTCAATTTTTACGTTGATAAAATTGCCATGCAGAACTGTCAAAATCTTTTAAACTGTGACTGCGGACATGTTTGGCACTGCGATATACTTTCTCGGCCATTGGTCGGTGGTCGCTATGTTCGCTATTGAAAAAATAAAATTTAAAAATGGCGGTATTATCACTAATTTGATGCGATTTTGAGCGGATGTAATAGGTTTATCGCGGGGGCATGCTGCAGGGACTGGTGATTTTCTGCCAAAAATATCAAATACACAAAATACAAATAGTCATGTGAAGTGTCACCATTACAATTGAAGTGTTCTTGACTGTACCAAAAATTTACTATGTTATGTGTTAGCATAATCATTTTAGTCGATCAGACGCTAATAGTGTAATGCTACCATGATATCAAATGATTACTTTAGAAAATACAATGATTTGTAGTCTGACTTTGGAAGTTAAAAATTATAGTCTGGTCGGCAAAGTCTCTATTTATTCGGTTATTTAGAAATGGATTTAATCCGTATTTTTAGGGTCCTTTATACTATAACTTAATGACGTGTTGTGTAATCGATTACAGTAAGTTTAAATAAATAAGAAAAAACAAGTATAAACTACCATAAAAATAGTATATTATTGTCAAGGTTCACTAAGTAAGCATTTGCTGGTTGTGTACGAGTTGGACTTCTAGAATACGCGTCCCTTAAGTATGGTGCCACCGGAAATAAACTTGTTCAGCGTTGATAGTAAAACATCCTTATAACTTTTGAAACGGGGCGCGACGGACTGACTAAAGCTAGTAATTTGCAACGAGAATTGACGCATTTCAAAAACTACCATGGTCATGCTTATATAAGGGACGCTTATAATAAGAGTCAAGCAGATGCTATTTCCATCGAAACTTTTCTCAATAAATGCAAGGAAATTATTCTTTGTATGATATCAAACGACGGGACTAACAAGTCGTGCGCCTGATGGTAAGCTACATGCATGTCCATAACAGTTGCAGTGCCACTCAGAGCTTTAAATCGCAAAAATCTTGTTAATATAAATATCGCATCGCAAAGACACCCTGAGACATAAGTTGACAAGTCCCATGTGCCTTTAATTTCACCAGCACCATTACCCTTCAAAGCCGGGACACAGTAATGCTAACATTACTGTTTGGCGGTAGAAATAGGTAAGGTGGCAGTACTTCCCTGGACGAACTCGTTCACAAGGAGCTCTACTGCTATGTATTTACAAATATGTTTACAGAAACAAGTTGGTAATCAGCGGCAAAGATTATTTAAAAAAATTCTAACCGTACATTCAGTGCCATTTTCCATTATCGACTAGCCGCGAGCGACCGCAGTTGTACGGCCGCGACAATAGCCCCCTTTACAGTTACTCTATCGCGCGTGTTCAATAGCCTACAGGACTGCGCACGGGAAAGCCTGCACTCGCAATCGTGCGCGATTGTCTGTTTGAAAATTTTTAAGCTAATGCTCTTTCGCGCGCGATTGCTCGTGTTTTTTTTTCTTACAACGGAAAGAGCGTCTGTGTAAAGGCTAATAACGCAGGACAGACAGCGGGAAACTGGCTCGTGTTGAAGTGCGCGCTTGCGCGCGCGACGGATGAGTGCAATTTCGCGGTCTTTCCTTCTCCTTCCAACGTTTTTACAAGCGCGCGCGATCGCGCCCGATCGCTGTATCACGCGCGATAGTGTGTCTGTTAATGGTACGCCCGCTAATGGTACGGTATAATAATTTATTTCAATAAATAAGAGTCGCTTAGTAGAAAACGCGTATCATACGTTTTTAAAACTAAACGGTCATCTTTTTTAAAGATTGATCCTTTTTCTCGGAGACAAAACAAATTACATCAAACGATATTTTAATCTGTTCAAAGCTACGTAAAATAAGTGTGACAGCCACCATGCCATTATTCGTTACTCGCGGATAGCCTATCGGCATAGTCTCAACTTTCGTCCATTGTCATTAAACTTGGTAATGTTGATAGGTACTGTATATTGTTTCCCAAACTGGGTAGATAAATAGGAATGAAACTATTTTTCCGGATTTAAATCGCGTATATTTGTTTTATCAAACAAACCGACGTTTCGGGCCCTTTACAGGTCCCATGGTCACGGTTGACTGAGGTGGTACAGTCTTCAACCTTCATACCTTCTTTCTTGGACCATCTTAATTCTTTTAGTACTAAGATCCAATTTACTATGGAACAAGAGAATTGTGGTACTTTAGCTTTCTTAGATGTTTTAATTAAAAGAAATCCTAATAACACCTTAGGCCATACTGTATTTCGAAAGAAAACCCATACAGATAGGTACCTCAATGGTAATTCCCATCACCATCCTAGCCAGTTAGCTACCGTGGGCAAATCTTTGTTTCAGAGAGCATATGGTGTCTGCGACAGTAATCATCTGGCGGGGGAACTTCAGCATATAAAGCAAGTCCTACATGCGAATAAGTTGAGGATTCCACGCCAATGCCGCAGACCCCGTGTGAAACCACCAACAGTCGAGCGAAGACCTGCCATCTTACCTTACGTGAGAGGTGTTACAGACAAGATCGGAAGAGTCCTCAGGCGCGCATCTATCAAGACCTATTTCAAGCCCCTGAGGAAGATTTCTCAGTTCCTGAGACCCGTGAAATGTAACATCCCCTTACAGGATGCAGGAGTTTACAAGCTTGACTGTGAGTGCGGTCTCTCTTATATTGGACAAACAAAGCGAAGTATTTGTACCCGCGTCAAAGAACATATAGCTGATGTCAAACACCGTCGCGTAAACAAGTCTGCAGTCTGCGAGCATGTCATGGATAAACCTACACATTCAATGAAGTTTGACAAACCCCAGGTCCTTGCAAAAGAAGTCCGTTATCTGCCCAGGATGCTGCGAGAGGCCATTGAAATTAAAAAACATCCTAATTTCAACAGGGAAGATGGTTTCTCCGTACCACCAGTTTGGGATCCAGTATTTCCTCTAATGAAAAATCCCAAACAGACATAAGACTGCAGTACTAATTAATATGTTTTAATTTATTCTAATTTCTATTAATAATTAATAATAAATTAAACTTAATAAAAAAAAAAAAAAAAATTCATTCAATAAAATAATTTGTAAAACTTAATGTAGCGTAAATTGGAATGTTTTCTTTGTAAAATTTAAAAATAAGGTATTTAATTAATAACTATTGTAACTATAGTGAAATAATAGGGTGGTTTGCATCAATATTAGACATAACTGGTTGAAGACTGTACCACCTCAGTCAACCGTGACCATGGGACCTGTAAAGGGCCCGAAACGTCGGTGTGTTTGAAAGAACAAATATACGCGATTTAAATCCGGAAAAATAGTTTCATTCCTATGTATAACAATCGCGAAAACCTAAGAACTCGATGGGTAGA